ATCCGGGTCGCGCAGGAGTTAAGCAGAAATGGCTTCCCGTACCTCATGAGGCGGGATGCTGGAAGCCGAAAACCTCAGGACGGACGGGACAGATGGACCCGAAGGGACATGGAACCGAATGCAGGGAGGGGCCGACACCATATGCAACTCATACACGGAGGGAAAAAAGAAAACCCCTCTCCTTGTAACAGCAAGCCCCATTCCAAGGGTAGAAAAACCAAAGCGGTGTCCAACGGGGCCCAAGACACCGAAGTCAACCCCTTCCCAGCCCCAGGAACCTCCACATCAGGACCCAGGGCTGAGTCGTCCTCCAAAGCCCCAGCCCCCAAAGAAAAAGCCAGAGCGGCCGGAAAGGTGGGAAGGAAAGGGGCCCACTGGTCAGACCCCCAAACGCCACGACTGGAGGAACTGACTCAAATGCTTCCATTGCCACCCCGGAAGGGGCATCCCCCGAAACTTCATGCCATGCATGAAATCATAACAAAATCAGATATATACAAATATCGCCGCTCAAGGGTTAAGGAACATGCAAGGAAGAAAACCCGGAGCACATGCAGCTCCAAACACACTTTGACCAAAGAGCCAGAGCTCAACCCCTGCAAGCACAACTAGGTGAGTACACTACAACTCTTGGCTCATGCTACACAACCATGTACAGGAACACCTTGAGAGGCAAAACACTACAGTATTCACTCAATTTAACGGCCTGTTGTATACTGATCTGCTGGTAATAACGACCGGTTTAGGAGCTCGGTATCTGGAGCCTCATATACCGGTCTGGTGGTTGATATTACCGACGGTCAGTATTGGGTTTGTTTTGGCATCCGCGGCCCCTCAAATGGCGACCAGGCCACCGACCTCGATCATCCAGAGTCGTATATTAAATCTTAACTTTCTTTTAAAATGATTCAGTTTAATGAAGAAAATTCTAAATTATTATTAATAAAATATTTTGAAACAATTATTATTAAGCAAAATTCTTTGCTTTCTTATTAAATACCTTTTATAGTACAGTATAGGCAATAGGTATTTTTTTTCCTACGGACCTAGAATGTACTGCGCTGGGCCATGTGACCGCATTGTTTACTGTGAACTCGCGCGGCTGAGAGCAATGTCTCAGAATATTAACCAAAGAAAGTCAGATTCAGACAACAATAGATAAATTCATGATTTCAACGGTTCGTGAAAGTACCCACTGGGAATTCAACATGTCAAGCAGCCTCTGCCTGCAACGAATGCTCTGCAAGCTATGCTGCACCCGCCGATGCTGAATTCTCATCAACAAGTTGTGCAGCCTCGGCCGGCAACAAATGGTCTGCAAGCGATGCTGCACCCGCCGATGCTGAGTTCCCATCAACAAGTTGTGCAGACTCGGCCTGCAACAAATGGTCTGCAAGCGATGCTGCACCCACCGATGCCGAGTTCCCATCAACAAGTCATGGAGCATCCGCCGGCAACGAATGCTCTGCAAGCCATGTTGCATCCGCCGATGTTGAATTCCCATCAACAAGTCGTGCAGCCTCCGTTAACGATATATGATTGAAAAGTATATAAATTAGTGTAAAAAGTGTTGATAGAGTACAGTATTGTAAGTGTTAACCACTTAACTGCGCCAACCGAGTATTCTCAGTCAGAGGGAAACTGCGCCAACCGAGAAAACTCGCTTTGATTTTTCAGTACCAATTCTAAATGTGTACGAGGTTGATTGTGTACGAAATGGACTCTTAGGATCTCCAGTGAGAGGCAGCCATCTTGGAAAAAATTCCCAGAATGCCCTAGGGCTGCTGGCTGGGTTAGTACTGAATGAGCAACCATGGGTGGCGCACGCGCCTCTGGCTCCCAAACACCTGTCCGACGCGGTGTTGAAAGATAACGCTCTGTCGGTGAAATTCAAACCTTATTGTTTGAAGAACATTAGGGTCATAATATTGGTGAGGCTAGGTGCAATAAGGACCTAACACAAAGGTTGGATGCAAGTGATACAACACCTATGAGGACGATACAGCGAGCGTATCCAGTTGTAGCTCTCAGCGTCACCCTTGCAATCCTATGCTATCTACAATTTATTTAGATGATACATAGATGAATCGTTTTCTGCATTCAGTGATGATGTATCTGATACAAATAGCATAGATGAACAGTGCTAGCGGCTTCCATGGTGGTGTTTTTCATAGATATTTTCAAGAATACTGTACCTGAATCTCTTCCTAACCGACGGACTCTCTTTGAGGCTAGCTGAATGTCTTTCTGACTGATGGACACTCTTGAGGTAAGCTGAATCTCTTCCTATGTGGGACCATACAAAGCGATCTTTTCACGACTACCTTACAAATTGATCTTTTCCTATAATCTTTTCAATACTACCTTATGCTTTACAAGGTTGGCTACATACAACCTACAAGTACTAAAGCCAAGGGTGTACGTGAGTGTTATTTGCAAGCACACAGAATGAAGAAACGAAGCGAAAATTTATCTGTACCTGGTGCACTGAGAGCGAAGTCGCGCTGTGTACCATGGGCTACTTCGTTGATTATTACTCACTTCCGAAGTACTGAGTGTGTAATACAGTGTGTTACTGTGTAAATAGTGTGTGTAACTGTACATATTGTAATTTTAGTGATTTCTTAACAGGTAATATTGTGACAATAAACATTTATTGTGGACACATTACTGACACATGTATCACAGTTCCATGGAACATTATGAACGTTCTACTGTATACATATTGTAAAGGGTGTCCACACAAATATGCATCATATACGATAAAAAACATAAAACCGCATTGGAAATACATAAAACAAATAATTATAAATATATTTGTGGAAACACCCGGTGCTTGAATAGCCCGCGCGACCATGTCTGGGCGAGTCACGCACGGGCAACCAGGCCCTGATGACGTCACAGCGCACCTTGTCCACGTCCCCACAGCCAAAGTAAGTGGAATTTGGTATTTATTTTTACATAGACATGTTCAGGGAAGGGAATTTATCATTTTACAAAGAAAAAAGAATTGTTTGGGAACATTTTATTTCATGCGCACCAGAGGAATGTCACAAACTCGGCGCAGCACGGTGGTTAATGATTATTTAAGCTTTGACAAAAAGATACTGTACAGTGTAAATATACAGTAGAAATAATTTTCAATTGTGAATTAGAATTAGAACTCATGTGAATTAGTAGTAAGGCTAGCTGTTGTGTGAAGTGAATGCCTGAAAACAAGTGTACATACTGTATGTTTCCTGTATACAGTACTGAACAATATAAAACAAGCACTGCAGAGGATGATGTAATCTTTACAGCTTCGTAATCTTCAGCTTCATTAAAAGTAAGTCAATTTACCAATTTTATTACTGTAAATATTACAACATAATAATTTTTTTTTTCAACAAAAGCTACATATTAGTCTCTGCAAATGTATATTCTATCATTAGCAGAGAAAAGCTGAACTCAAAATATTTCGTCTTGGCTAGCTATCAGTTAGTGACAAGGCTCGATCGCCATTGTATAGCCTGGCCGCCACAGCCTGTGTCATAACATTAAAAATACATTACCTGCACTGTTCAGGGTAAAACAAAACACATCTCTAAAATTTTATTGATAAAATATTAACAATCACTGATTGATACATGAAATATTTTGGAATACAAAGGAATGAATCAATTTTTTCCCACCCATCTGGACTTGATCAGAGGGTGTTCACACATCATCATGCATCAGTCAACAGCTGGCTTAATTGTCGGCGTGGCACTAAATTGGAACGCAATTACACAATGAACTTTATTTAATTTTATTTATGTAGTATAAAATATATCTTACCTGAATGTTACCTGAAAAATTATCCGACCCAACTTAACTTTGGAAATACCGGAGCTCCGGAAATAACGACCAGGGTACAGCCCCATATAGGCCATTAAATTAAGTGGATACTGTATTCAAAAACAAGAAACTGGAACCAGAGCGACTAGTACAGCAGCCAGTTACCACCAGAACAGAACTGAGGTGTGGTGCGGGCCGGCTGACCTGGCCTGCCTCCCTCCTTCCCTAGGAGAGAGGGCAGGAGAGGTGAGGGCAAACTAGCTATCTTGAGGTTATCTTGAGATGATTTCGGAGCTTTAGTGTCCCCGCGGCCCAGTCCTCGACCAGGCCTCCACCCCCAGGAAGCAGCCCGTGACAGCTGACTAACACCCAGGTACCTATTTTACTGCTAGGTAACAGGGGCATAGGGTGAAAGAAACTCTGCCCATTGTTTCTCGCCGGTGCCTGGGATCGAACCCAGGACCACAGGATTACAAGTCCAGCGTGCTGTCCGCTCGGCCGACCGGCTCCCTAGTAGCTTCCTCTAGTTTTACCAAATTTTGGTGGTTTGTTTTTATTGTTGAGAGAGTTCTTTTGCTATTTTTGTTTGAGACTGCAGTCTTGTCTTAACCATGCTGTAGACTGTTTTTTCTCCTTTCTGGGTGCTTCCCTGGTGGTGGCAATTATGATTAACTTTAAATGTAAAGTGTTCATAAGCCATCGCTCCCTGTGACTTTCTGAGGGGGCCAGGTTTTGGCTCAAGGTCCCCAATAGGCCAATAGAACTCTGTGACTGATGCACCTAGTAGTATGGCACTGAATCAGTGATGATAATAGCTTCAGGGAGCATCAAGGAGCTTCCCTCAGAAAACATAAGTAGTGTTCTGTATAAAATGTATTTTTAAGTTAATACTGTATTCTTGGGTGGGTGGAACGGATTAATTCAATTTAGAGTACATTATTTCTTATGGGAAAATTTGATTTAGTTTATATTTTACTTTTTGGAATGATTAAATTTTTACACTGAGGCACCAATTTATAAATAACTAATTAAAAAGAACATTAAAAATATATACAAAATATATATATATTAATAAAACAGCTTGATAAATTTATATTAAAATACTGTATATATTAATTGATTTTCAAATTTTATATTAATTGATAAAAGCAATTAAGATGCAAGAAACATTTCACTCTCTGTACCTTAAATCCATTGCCAACACCGCCAAGAACATTTTCTACAGGAATTTTGACATCATCAAAGAACACCTCTGTTGTATTTGAGGCCTTTATTCCCATTTTTTTCTCCGGGGCTCCGCTGGTAACTCCACCAAAGGAACGCTCCACAATAAATCCTGTCACCTTGTCCTTCGTTACACCTGATAATAAAGTTTTGAATTAGTTAAATTTTTATCTTTATTTCATTAACCCCTTAACTGCGTTGCCTCCAAATATGACACCCCACAGTGCGCAGGAAATAAATTCTCTGGAAAAAAATCTTGTCAAAAGTGTCAAAAAAACCCTTCCCTCAGTATGGGTATGTAAAAAAAAATCGAAATTGTACTTACTTTGACAGCTATGGGGTCCGTAAGTTTGGGCGTGACGTCATCATTCTCTGTGCACCCGTGGCGTACGCTCCCGGGGCCAGTAGGACGCTCGGGGCGGGGCATGCGAGTTGCCGCGAATATATTTTCGTTCATTTTTTGCGCACAGTTCCCAATACAATTTAATTGTTTTTACGTGCCAATCCAATGTATAATGAACACGTACACTATATTATGGCAGTAGAACATCCATACTGTCTGTAGACACTGTGTTACGTGCATCACAAACAAGTTCACTTATCCTGCACAATTTCCAATGTATCATGCCTAATATATTTATATTTACACTTTATATACACACTGTACAGTATCACACACTATATACACACACACCATAAACACACTCAGCACTCCGCGAGTGTGATATGCTGCGAAACAGCCAACGGCACTGAGTGGCACCTTGCACTCCACACACCAGGTGCCGATGCATCTGCGTTTTTGTTCTCTGCGGGTAGTGTTCCTGCATACTATACACGCGCGTTTACCTTTCTCCTGTGATGCTGTGCCTGGCATATACTCGAGCATATGTACTCCGAGGTTCTCATTACCACTCAATCTGTCTAGAGCTGTGTGTGGCCTTTTGCTTGCACCCCGCACGGTACAACGGAACCCTCCTTGCCATACTTTACTAGCAGCTGTGACAACACCAGCACTGAATGTACGTATAGATGGTCTCCTGCCAGATTTTACTAGGTACATATTGAAGCAGTTGAGCACTGCAACATCCATGAGATGGAAGAAGAACTTTTTCGTCCACTTCACAGACTTGCGCACGCACTCCAGTCCACCAAGCATCATGTCACATTTATCGACGAGGCGCATGTTCACGTTATAGTCTATGACACAGTCTGGCTTATACACGGTATTGCATGTCTGAAAGTGGACTTTCCCACTGTCCAACATGGCACCAGTGTGAATCATAGTCAGCATATTCACCTCGCATCTGTCCTTCCACCGCACTGACAGCATATTGTCACACTTGCGCAGCTGGCACTCACCCACGGCTATACCTATACCAAACACTGGCATTTCCTTCCTGTGGACCTTCACAGTGCCACATACGCCGGTGTTGTGGGCAAGGAGGTATCTGGTCAACAAGGGGCTGGTGTAATAGTTGTCGGTGTACAGTACATGCCCCTTGTTCAGGAACGGTTCCATCAGGGTTTTTACGACACTGCCAGAGAACCCGTGTTCATCTTGAGCTGGTATGTCGACGTCTGTACCAGAATATAATATCATGTCCAAGACGATACCAGTCTCACAGTCGCACAGCACAAAAAACTTCAGTCCAAATCGGTGCCGCTTTGATGGGATGTACTGCTTGGATGCTAGTTGCCCCTTGAACAGTACAAGCGACTCGTCAATAACCACATTCTGTGCAGGTACAAAATAATCCCTAAACTTCCCTCTCATGTCACTAAATATCTTCCGTACTTTCCAGTCTGTCGTGTCTGTCCTCATTTGCATTATTCTCGAAATGAAGGCACCTGAGAATCAAGAGATACCTATCACGCGACATGTACCGGTTGAACACGGGCGATGGAACAAGGCTGTCTTTGCTCCAATAATCCTGGATGACAGCTTTCTTAGAGTGCTTCATCGTCATGGCGAGTGCCAGAAACACGTATATTTCGTCGATTGTCGTGTCCTTCCATCGCTTGAGGCGTGAGGCAGGTAAAATACCGTCGTCTATGAGGCTATGAGCGAACCTGTTTGTCTCCATCACAAGATGCGTCATGAATACATTGTCAAAATATGCCAGGAAATATTCCATGTCTGCCATATCATCACCGGTATATGGGAATAATGGTGTAACACCAACATCGCTATCATCAAACGTTGGTATTTGAGGGACAAATGTGGTGCAATCCTCCCACACAAGTACACCAGGGGGTTTGGTGTTGGTGCCAACACCACGGCCAACACCACCACGAGCACCAAGAACACGGCTACGTCGTCTGCTGCTGCTGCTGCTGGAGCTGCGTGAGGGTATGCTAGGCACCGAGGCAGATTTACGTACTGTAGGCCTACCACGAATAAATGATGTTGAGGGGGGCACTGTTGTTGTTGTCCACATGCTGTGAGACACGCTGCCGCGGCGTGTTGCTGAGGCAGCAAAACCCCGCCTGTTAACACCACCCCTGCTCGTACTCGGGTCGTCCACACTACTCGTATCGGAGCCAAAGTCACTGAAGCCCGAGAAAGATTCGTCACATGTACTGTCACTGAATAAACTACTAGCGTCTGGGGACATACATGATGGTGGTGATGATAACGGTGTTGGCCCAGGGCGGCGAGGCAGGCCGGGCGAGGCGCGTGTACTGTACACGCTCGCCACATCTTCCAATTCCGTCTCTCCCTCACTCGTATCAGATCTCTGAGTAAGGTCTTTCTCTGGATCATAGTCTAGGTCATAATCTATAGCACCGTCATCATACAAATTATCGCGTATTTCCTCCTCAGAGTCGTTTTCCATGACCGCGGGTCACCGTGGAGTGGGAGCTTGTAGAGGATGCGTCAGACATGGTTGCTGCTGTGAAACTGAGGCTCCCCACGGCGAAGGTGAATTTTCGCGGGGCAATTCCTGTTACTATTTTGTATGCTGGGATTTTTTTTGACAGTCATCTAAATTTCTTATCCTTCCTATTATCTTAGCATCATCAGCAAACATGTTCATATAATTCTGTATACCAACTGGTAGATCATTTATGTACACAATAAACATCACTGGTGCAAGAACTGAACCCTGTGGTACTCCACTTGTGACATTTCTCCATTCTGATACATTGCCTCTGATTACTGCCCTCATTTTTCTATCAGTCAGAAAATTTTTCATCCATGATAGAAGCTTACCTGTCACCCCTCCAATATTTTCCAGTTTCCAAACAACCTCTTATGATGGCCAGATAGATGCAGACGATTCCCTGCTGCCACTTTTGTAGATTGGAACTATGTTAGCCTGTTTCCACCCGTCTGCTACGATTCCTGTACACAGGGATGCCTGAAAGATCAGGTGAAGTGGAATGCTGAGCTCAGATGCACTGGGTCTCTAGACACCTCTATGTGTTCTATGTTGTTCTCTGGAATTCTTATTGTATCTGGTTCCCCACACATTTCCTTTTCATCTTCCGTGAATCTATTTCCCACAACCTCTGAATATTATCCTTTACCTGCAATTTGTTGTTTATGAATTTATAGAATAGACCTGGTTCTGTTTTACATTTGTCCGCAATCCCTTTTTCAAAATTTCCTGCCTCTCTCCTCATACCATACCTGGTATGAGTCACCGCGTGCCAGTTTTGAATGGAACGTGAAAAGTCTGTCCAATAAAAAAAAAATACACGGAGGCGCGTTGCGCAAACCAGACGTGGGCCTGCAGGCGTGTTGCGCAGTTTAAGGGTTAATAATTTGAAGAATAAAAAGTTAAACGACGTTAATGTATATATATGAAACCCTTTATCCTGTAGTGCAATGACTCTAGTATAGTCCTCCAGTCACAACTGGGTTCACTTTCAGTGCAGGACCACACCTGTAGTGCAATGACCAGTATAGTCCTCCCACAACTGGGTTCACTTTCAGTGCAGGGGGGCATATAGCAGCCTAAAGGTTAACCCCTTAACTGCGCGGCCTCCAAATATGACACTCCCCCAGTGCGCAGGAAATAAAATCTGTGGAAAAAATTCTTTTCTGTTTTGAAAGTGTCAAAAACCCCTTCCCTGAGTATGGGTATAGAAACAAAAGGTCGAAATTGTATGTACTTTGGCTGCTATGGGGTCCGTAAGTTCTTGCGTGACGTCATCATTCCTTGGTCGCCCGTGGCGTGTGCCCCTGGGGCCGGTAGGGCACTTGGGGCAGGATGCGCGAGTTACTGCGAATATATTTTTGTTCATTTTCTGCGCACAGTTCCAAATACATTTTATATGCTTTTATGTGCCAATCCTATGTATAATGAACACATACACTATATTATGGCAGTAGAACATCCATACTGTCCAAAGACATTGTGTTACGTGCATGACACACGTGTACAAATATTCGGCACATTTCCATTGTATCATGCTAATTTATGTAAACATACAGTCTATTTACACACTATACACTATCACACACTATATACATTCACCATCAACACACTCAGAGCTTCGCGAGTGTCAGCTGCCACACCCTCACTCCAACATCCAGTCTCTCCCTCACTCCTCCAACATCCAGTCTCTCCCTCACTCCTCCAACATCCAGTCTCTCCCTCACTCCTCCAACATCTTACTCTCCAACATTGCTCCTCCCACCATACTGTTAATGTTTGTATTACACTATTTACACATGTTATGTATACCTATCTACATGTTTGATTCACCAGAACTATGCAAGTAAGCTGGTTTTGTGTCCAAACTTTACAGTGGCCACCATACACTGCATGAGAAATCACACAGCAGCCAGCAGATGAAGCTACGATTACGTCACCTCCCTGAACTCACCAAAATAGTTCCTCCCAACATACTCCTGTTGCTGTTACTACACTATATACACACATTGTATATACCTATATACAAATGTGTTCACCATAGCGAACCACTAAGCTAGTATGATGAGCAAAACAAGAGTGGCTGCCATACAGTGAGGCTACCTCGATTCTCTCCCTCACTACAATTCCTCCTCCCACAATACTACACACATATGTACATGGGTATATACACACATTGTATATACCCATGTACATCTGGTTCACCATAGTGAACCACTAAGCTAGTATGATGAGCAAAACAAGAGAGGCTGCC